CGTGGGAGATGGTATAAAATAAAGATGTAATATTTTTACTTTATTCATCTTTAAATTTTAGAATTATTTGAAAAATATGAATACTGTTTCTTATCACATTAAATGAACGTTGAATTTTTTTTTAGCTATTACTTAGAGGTACGTTTGTCTGGAGGATATTTTAACATATTAGAAATCACTCTCATGGTGATTGAATTTTCTCGTTTTAAAACTTCCCGTAACAAAAACATAAATGAATGTTCAGGAAAGCTATATTAAAATCAAAAATAAGTTGATAGAGTAAAATTGCATTTCGAAATGCCACTTACTGTAATCATCAACCTTGTACATCTGATAAATGCAGTTGGAAATGGACTGTTGGCAAATTTATGTCTTCCTGTTAGATCGAGATTCTATTGAACTTAAACTACCACCCAGATATGATCTAAACACTCTTACAAAATTTCCTGGTCTTAAAGAAATGATAAAAAGCATGGGGATACAAATAGAAGTAAGATGTAAAACAAACACTGTATGTATTGAAAAAAATATATCAGTGATATGATACATACTATATGAGGCAGTCTTGTCACGGATAATGGTTCTTGTTCTTAGAAATTATTCGAATATGACGTTATGAATTTTAAAATTTGCGATGGTCATTTAAAATTCCCCATCTCGGTTTGTTGACATGTGTTCCAGAGAAAACAATCTCATCTAATTGTCGAATTGTCTTGTGAGGCAATTTTCCTTATTACAGTTATTAAATAAAAGGTAGTTTACGTCTACAAGTGCAAGGTAATACTGACACAGCCTTTTCAGCATAAAAACACTGCTTCTATTAATGGACAGTAAGAGAGGATGGTGGAAAATAAAATGAGAAATGAGCATGCTTAGTTCTCTCAGTTAACTGCTTTCAGAATCATTTATAGTTTGTGTATAACAAAAACTGTCAAGTGCAAAATTTAACCGTGGGTATTTTAATTAGTTTGAACTGAGTTATTTTTCACCATCATTTCTGTATATAGTAAAACTTGGTTATTACATGTAGGAAGTCACTTGGACCTCAAAGTTTGCTTCCTTATCACCAAAATACTTTACATCCGTATAAAGAACATAGTAAAAAGTCTACTACCGGATTCGTAAAAATGTCCTTATGACCGAGATTTTCTTATAAGCGATTTCTTCATAACCAAGCTTTGCATTATACAGAAAATGTTTCATTTTTTTTTCCTGAAAAACACTGCAGTATTATTCAATAACGAGAAGTAAAATGAAAGTTCGATTTCGCTACAGATGAGATGAGGTATTCACAAGCAAATTATATTTCCCTTTAACTTTTATAAAACTGTTGACAAGATGTTCAATAGACGTTGATGCTTTTTAATAGACAAGTTATTCCGCTTTTACATGTATTATGCCTTATGTACATGTAAGAGAGGAAGATTTTTTTTTCAAAATAGTAAGTTGTTTTTGAAAAGCTTAAAATCTCTGTGCTTGAAGCCCAATATGTTCCTCTGCCTTAATTAAAGATTTTTTATGCATTTAGGAATTAAACATAAAGTATACATGTCCACAGGACTGGTCTCAAAAATCAGGGAAATATCCCATATTCTTTTTCTCATTAGATGCAGAACCGCTCCAAGGCCAGTGGCAATGCACTGCGCTGCCATACAAAAAAGACAAAAATATTATGGTCTGCGCAATGCAGAGATAAATGATTAGAAACACTATTCTCAAAATTCACACATAAACATACGAGGTCAATAGGCATTAGTCCTCGACGAAGTCTGCTTGGTCCTGATTTCTCAGAATCACCTTCTATATATTCCCATGTAAAATTTGGGCCCGAGATTGAGGTCAAACCGTAACTGCAATAAGTCATGATGAAAAGCAAGAGTCTACAATACGGGGAAATGCTGAATATTACAGTAAATTGACTAATGAAGCCCTGTTGTTTTGGAGAAGAACGAATTAAATTCGTTTTATATACATGTACAAATATTAATGAAAAACTTACTCTTCCAATTTACCCACCATAATTGATTCAGTAATTTGAATAAAAATTGAATTTTTAATAATTTTTTCTTGTATTATTTTTTAAATATTACAATTATTAAAGATTTTCCCACAGACGTGTTGAAAGGATTTTTAACAATAGCGCGAAGAATAACATCGTAATTATTGTTTCCTATACACTGAAGTACATGGAGGGGGGGGGGGGGCTCTTGCAATTGCTACAGATTTAATAAACCATTTTAAATTTTATTCCATGAAACATATCTGCAGAATTTATGTGACAAACTAGATGAAGGTAGCATACACAAAACTGTATTTAGACATTTTTGAAAAACGTAGTAGTGATAGGAAGAAATCTGTATTTGTTGCAAATAATTTTATTTGATTGATATAAGCAATGGAGAGATATTATAATATTGCATTTAATAGTAAACAACCAAGTAGGCAGAAGCATGTAACATACAATTCATAGCTATCTCTAAAAGAAAAGCAAGCTCTGTCACTGGTATCATATTCATGAGTACAACCTGTTAAATAAATTTCAAAATCTTTTATGTACAATTGCCAATGCAAATTCAGTTTGATAAAAATAACTAATCTGTGGAACTTCTCATTCTTTAACATTTCCGTGTACTGTCATGAACCCAACTCACAGTTATTGTACTATCGCAGAATTTTGAGAAACCGCCTTCACTCTCCATTTTCATAAACAACAAAACACTTAGGTATGTTGCACTTTGCCACTAATGTGACTTTAATTATAGAAATTACTTGTAATTAATTATGTAATAATTGGTCAAGAAATCCATAAAATTATTAATTAACTTCTTATTATCTATATCAAAAATTCACAACAGAATGAAGTCGAATTACGAATATGATTGATATGTAAACAGTGATAACCTAATATGTGGCGTAATTGATTACATAATATATAAAACCTTCTTGTGGTCTGAAACCGAAAACTACCTATAACAAATTCAAAAACAAAGAAGATATAGACAGAATTGGACTTCCTCTTAAAAGGAAAAGGTGGCGGGGTGGAGGCGGCTTAAAATAATTTGAAGCTATCCAACACACATGTACTTTTCACGGCGTCCTAAAAGAATTTGAAAAACGACGCTATCTGGACGACCGGGTCCAGATTTTTGCCGCGCATGATTTTCATTGGGCATTTACTAAATGTTTTCATTTCCAAGAATCACTTGCATTTGCCTCTCCTAATTAGGACACGCCACAAACTTCCAAGGATAATGCAAGTGCGATAACTCTAATTATACGCAGAGCATTCCAATGTACATAAAATTTTTTAAGTAAAACTTAAAATTCATTTATGTACAATTGCCAATGCAAATTCAGTTTGATAAAAATAACTAATCTGTGGAACTTCTCATTCTTTAACATTTCCGTGTACTGTCATGAACCCAACTCACAGTTATTGTACTATCGCAGAATTTTGAGAAACCGCCTTCACTCTCCATTTTCATAAACAACAAAACACTTAGGTATGTTGCACTTTGCCACTAATGTGACTTTAATTATAGAAATTACTTGTAATTAATTATGTAATAATTGGTCAAGAAATCCATAAAATTATTAATTAACTTCTTATTATCTATATCAAAAATTCACAACAGAATGAAGTCGAATTACGAATATGATTGATATGTAAACAGTGATTACCTAATATGTGGCGTAATTGATTACATAATATATAAAACCTTCTTGTGGTCTGAAACCGCCATGTACTTGATTAAATTTATACTTTAAATTAAATTTAATCAAGTTCAGACCCCAAGAAAAAGGAAGCCGAAAAAGGGGCAAAGTGCAGTTATACCTGTCAAAATAAAAAGTAATTTTAAGTCAGCAGAGATAAACATATGCCCTGCTTGTCCTTTTGAAAAGTTTGTACGTTCCACACATATGAACCAGTAGGAATAAACATATGTCCTACTATGTACCCAATGAAACCAAGAGCCATAAATGTACAACTAGATGAAAAATTCCAAGTCAGAGATAAACATATGCCCTGCTTGTCATTCATAAAAGTAAGTCTACTCATGTCTGTTTGTTAGTAGAACTACTGCTACCTAGGGAATAAATATGCCACAAGTGAACTGCTTATTAAATCCAAATCAGAAATAAACATATGCCCTGGACTGAACATGTCACGAAAAGTTTATTCACAGACACTGATATTAACTTTGGTAAATTATGTCCGACGACATCGTATAAACACGTGTTCTTGCCTAGGTTGAACGTTTGTCACACTGCTATGCACGCATAATGAAGTGTTTTCATTTAATATTTCATTATAAAAATATATATTTTTAAAAACAGATGCTGTTCAAAATTGTCACCAAATGTTGTATGCATCAGAAATTAAAAGGTTATCTCCATTGAAATATCCAGGGTTGGTAATTTCCCCTTAACGCCAATCAAGATGGAAAAGGCGGAAGAGGAGGTATCTCTACTGGATGTCTGTCTGCCCAAGTAGCCAGTTCCAAGAATTGCTGTACCTTGGAACGAGAAAGATAGTCACATAGCAAATTTTCTTTGCTTGACAAATGTATTGCTCTAAAGTAAATATTAAATTCTAGACAGGTTAGCACAAGTTTCCTCAACAAAAACATTATGTGTTTATCCTTAGCTGTTTGCTTATTGATCACATGAACCAGTGCATGATTGTCAGTGTTAAACAAAATACATTTATTAGCAAGGTATTTTGACCACGTTTGCACAGCAAGTACTATAGGATAAAATTCCAAAATAGCAATATTCTGGTATCTCCAATTAATATCCCAATTTCCTTGAAACCACTGACTACCAAGCACTGCAGAATATCCAATAGACCCTGATGCATCAGTATACAACTTTATTTCAGTAGAATTTAACCACCTATCAGGCAAAAACATGGTAGATCCATTGTAATTTGAAAGAAAACTCAGCCAAACATTTAGATCTTCTTTTACTTCCTTTGTCATTCTAATTTTATAGTATTGCTTTTTAATTCCAATAGTCAAGTCTATCAGTCTCCTAAGAAAAGACCTACCGGGCAATACTACATTACATGCAAAATTCAATAAACCTATCAGTGACTGCAATTCCTTGAGTGTCAATTTTTGTTGTTGTAAACTTGATTCAATTTTCGTAACACACTTAAGGATCTTATCATCTGGAAGCCTAGATTCCATTTTAACTGAATCCAATTCATATCCCAAGTAAGTTATGATCTGGCTGGGTCCACATGTTTTTTCAAGTGATATTGGGACCCCTATATCCATCAACATATCGAGGAATGCCTTCAACTGTTTAACACATTCAGTAGGTGATTTATTAATGATTATAAAATCGTCTAAAACATGGGATATGCAAGATATTTTCAGTTTATTCTGAGCTATCCATTGTAATGCTGTTGAAAATCTTTCAAAAATTCTACAAGAAGAACTAAGACCAAATTGCAAGCAGGAGTCCACATAATATTTGTTATTCCACTTGAAACCTAAGTACTTAAATTGTGATTGATGCATGTTAATAATTCTAAAAGCCGATTTTATATCTGTCTTGCAGCAGTATGCACCTTTTCCACAATTTTTTATTAATTGAATAGCATCTGAAACCGATGAGTATTGAACAAATGACTCATCCGGTGGAATCCCATCATTGATGGACTTGTTTTCTGGATATGATAGATGATGAATCATTCTGTATTCCCCAGGTTCTTTCTTTTCAACTAAGCCTAATGGAGAGCATTGTAAATCAGGTATTGGTTTGATTTCAAAAGATCCATAAACCCTCCCAGCCAAAATTTCCTTTTGTATCTTACTAGATATAACCTGTGGGTTTTGGAAAGCAGAATTTAAATTCTTTGATTCAACACCAGGGCATTCACCCACAAAACCCAACGAAAACCCATTAGAGAAACCATTTATTAGATATTTGGATTCATCTTCATCATATCCAGCTAACCATTTTGCCAATCTACTTACTTTTACTGGTGTCATTCCTTTGTTTGGAAGGGTTGGTAAATTCTTTGTTATTTTTATTTGTTTGGGTGTAGAATTTTCTAAGGAAACGAAAGGGCTGCTGTGTTTGTTTGTTACAGTGATTAAATGGGTGGTTGCTGCCACAGTTGTAACACATATGTTGGAAACGACAGGATAGACCTGCACGACACTGCTTACCTGCATGATAATTGAAACAAGCCCCTTTTGGGATGGGCCCTGACGGTGCGTCTTTATTTTCACTACTTACTTTTGTCAATAGATCAGTTTTGAGTCTAGCATTTACATACAATTCCATGTGAACATCACCCCATGCAACTTGTCCTTGAGATACAAGCTGTCTAAATTCTGCATCGTAATTTTTCCAATTACCTTTGGCATCAGCAATATCTCTCACTGCCTCTAAATGCTTGGCTAATTTTGACTGCTGTTCAGGGTATTTTATACAATATATTGCTGCATACCTGTTCCAAGCTGTAATCCAGTCATGCATAGAGGAAACATTTGACTTGTTTTCGGCATCGTTCTCAACCTGGTGAATGGTTAACTTCCCCTGAGTATCACTATTTTCTACTTGCAAAGAGAACTTACCCTTCTTCTGTTTTTCCTTTGATAAAAGTTCAACAAAATCAATGCACTGATTAGACCATATCTTAGCCTTGATTTGGTCAGACACCAGAGCTTCTATTGGCACTGCTGTGCTGACAAATCCTGTTTGTCCCCTACCTTTATTTGACTCAGTGGCCTCGGGCAATACACTAGACTGAGCATTTACAGTGACACTATTATCTGAGATGGCAATCTGTGGAGATGCTTGCACATTACTATTGACTATACTCCCCTGATTATTCAAATTCGATGATCTAGTGTTGACAACTTCATTAATAAGTGTTGTTATTGAAGCCGTAACCCTATCAGTGACAGTTTTGGTGATTTCTTCCACCACATCATCAGGTACCGAGATCTGGTCTGCTACCAACCGTCTTTTCTTTCCTTGTCGGGAAGTAGTGGGTGGAACCGCTCGTGCCCTACTTGACTGTCTCTTTGGAGGCATTGTATATATACTGAAAATATATACTTCTAATTCTTTAGTGATGCTGTAAAAAGAATTACTTTTTGTCAATAAAAGGTAAGAGATATGATGAGATCTATATTTTCTAGAGATTTGTCATGTAAACAACAACAAATAGATAAATACATGTATCTTAAATCCGTATTTTTTTTTTTTTTTTTTTTGAATTTTGTCAAATACTAAACATATCCGAATAAGGCAGTTACCTTCTTAAGTAATGCTGATTTCCAAGAGTAAAATCTCACCATAGAATGTTTAATATCTTGTCCTCAGGAAACACAAACAACTTGTGTTGATCCTTATGAGGAAAACCTCGTTAGAGGAGTTTTAACACAATATTGTCCTCAGGAAACACAAACAACTTGTGTTGATCCCAATGAGGAAAACCTCGATAGAGGAGTTTGTAATATTGTCCTCAGGAAACACAAACAACTTGTGTTGATCCTAATGACGAAAACCTCAGTAGAGGAGTTTGTAATATTGTCCTCAGGAAACACAAACAACTTGTGTTGATCCTTATGAGGAAAACCTCGAGTGAGGAGTTTTAATCAATATTGTCCTCGGGAAACACAAACCACTTGTGTTGATCCCAATGAGGAAAACCTCAATAGAGGAGTTTGTAATATTGTCCTCAGGAAACACAAACAACTTGTGTTGATCCTAATGAGGAAAACCTCAACAGAGGAGTTTGTAATATTGTCCTCAGGAAACACAAACAACTTGTGTTGATCCTTATGAGGAAAACCTCGAGAGAGGAGTTTTAATCAATATTGTCCTCGGGAAACACAAACCACTTGTGTTGATCCCAATGAGGAAAACTTCAATAGAGGAGTTTGTAATCTTGTCCTCAGGAAACACAAACAACTTGTGTTGATCCTAATGAGGAAAACCTCAACAGAGGAGTTTTAATACAGTATTGTCCTCGGGAAACACAAAAAAAATTTGTGTTGATGCAAATGAGGTAAAATAAATAAGAAATAAAAAATAAATAAATAATAAATTTGAATAGATCAATCAATAACTTACTAAATAAGTAAACAAATTAATTTATTAATTGAATAAGTAAATTGAATAAGAACACATTTCCACACGGAAATGAGAAAATCTTGATTATCAGAAACAAGCAAAGTTATAATCAATTTCAGAACTGGATCATCGTATCAAACAAAAATTTCATAGCTTTTTTTTTTTTTTTTTTTTTTAACTTTTTAATACATGTACGTCTAGTATACATATTAACTGGTATGTAAATTTATATATATATATATCTATACATGTTTTTTTTTTTTTGTTTTTTTTGTTTTTTTTTTGTTTTGTTTTGTTTTGTTTTTTTTGTTTTGTTTTTGTTTTTTATATAAATCATTATTATTTCTGCATTTTGCATTTCTAATCTATATCGGACAAAAGTTGAAACCTTGTACACTTTAAATAGCATAGGAATGGCTTCAGCTGTCCAAAATGATTCATCACTTCCGCAGTTACAGCAGTGAGGTCATGTTGACCTACACATATAAAACATACGTGGCCACAAAAGCTTCAACATAGATTATCGAAAACAGACGCCGTCTAATAGAAATTCTTTATTACCAAATTAAATTTAACTAAGTCATTGTTCGTGAAAGCAAAATAAATTAATTATTTAAGAATGAAAACATAATATTAACGTTTCCTACAGCCAGACTTCCCATCGCTACTATAATGGCGATTATCGGTCTTTTTTTTTTTTCTTTTTTTTTTTTTTTAAATATTCTACAGCATCGAGTTGTCCCCGTATGCAAATAGTATACAAAATAACAATGGCATTGGATAGCAATTATTAATATCAGTAACATAGCAAAATATTACGTACTTAATCTTTGAAAGATTGTTAGACAAATAAAACAATTAAATTGTATGAGGAAAAAACAAAAGTGTTACCTTACCGCTTAAAATAATTTGAAGCTATCCAACACACATGTACTTTTCACGGCGTCCTAAAAGAATTTGAAAAACGACGCTATCTGGACGACCGGGTCCAGATTTTTGCCGCGCATGATTTTCATTGGGCATTTACTAAATGTTTTCATTTCCAAGAATCACTTGCATTTGCCTCTCCTAATTAGGACACGCCACAAACTTCCAAGGATAATGCAAGTGCGATAACTCTAATTATACGCAGAGCATTCCAATGTACATAAAATTTTTTAAGTAAAACTTAAAATTCATTTTTATTTTCATGTAAATGTAATAAACCTTTTACCACACATTTACCATTTTAGTGTGTTATTTCGAATATTTACTCAACAACTAATATTTGCTAAGTCAAGAAGGCCGAGTGATAGGAGTCATTTTTGGACAATTTAAACTTCTTGAAAACAAGAGCTTTACTCTTGTCATTAATATTTTATAGGAAGAATGTGGTTTTTTTTTCTTTACTAAACAATATTTTATGCTAGAAAAATCATATTTCATAATTTTAGATGGATCTGATTGAGTAATTTGCTGACCCCCCAGTCTCCTTGAAATTACCTTATTTTAATTTATCATCGAGTCTGTACTTTAGGAATACGTGTTGCAATTTATTGATCTATTCTTATTTATTATTAATAATGAAAATTTTAATGTTCACAAAAAAGCCGATTTAGTTTAAAAATCACTACGATTACTAGATTAATTTTATGGTTTTTCCTATGGTCCTTTATCCGGTTATTCTGTTTTTTAGTAAATTAGTAATTTGTTTTTAACAAACATGATAACCATTGTAAACTACGTGCTGGGCGGGGGCATTGATGTTATAACTCCTTGGCACTGGCCTGTGTACTGGGGCTCTGGCATGTCATTTTCACTGTTATGGTTGTTTTGTTGGGTCTCCTTTTGGTTTCCATTATTCTTCTTGTTCTGCTTACTCTTTTCATTTTCAGCCTTTGAATTTTCCGCTTTTGAATTCGTATTTGAGGCTTGAGAATTTCCAGGACTATTCATATTCAGTGGACTTACCGACCTAAGAAATTAATCAATGGAGACTTGTTTCAGCAAATATAAACTAACGAGTATTGTGTTCATATTACTATTGCATATTTTGAAATGCTTACTTGGCAGCTGCCAGAGACTTCATCGCAGCCACACCAACACTTATTGTGGCAACTGCCCCTACAGCACCAGCAACACCAGCAGCCGCTGCTTTCCACGTCACCACAGAACACGTGGGTTTGTTGTTATGATATACACATTCTCTCAGACCCCCGCAGCTCAGCTTGTCACAACCAGATTCTGAAAATCCCGAATATATATATATATATATATATATATATATATATATATATATATATATATATATATATATATATATATATATATATATATATATATATATATATATATATATATAGTGTTCTTTTGTGTTCTTTTATCTTTATTATTTGGCTATTAGGCTATTACTTAACTCATTAAAAAGCCCAAATTGTTGTTATCCTTTCAAAACGGTTTACAGTACATATACCTTCAGATGAAGTTTTCAAGTTGACTTGTATTGATGTGCTTGTCGTTGTTCCATCTATGTTAGTGACCTTACATCGATAATATCCAGAGTCGTCGTTAGTGATGTTAAATAAAGATAAAGAAGGAGATGCAATAGACCCTCCTTCGTACTTCTTGTTTGACATGTCGATTTTAGTGAACGATGAATCATCGATACCTTGCTTCTCCCATACTATTGTCGAGTTATTCTCTGTGTCAGACAACATCACAGTCAAGGTAAGATTGTCACCTTCATTTACTGTGTATGATGTGACAGGAACATTTAAAGTAGCCATCTCTGAAATGTAAAATTAAACATTTTTTCCCCCAAACTACTTAACAGGAGAAAAAAAAAACGATGTATTAGTTAAAATATAATATACACATGTGCATGTTGTACCAAAAACTTTCAACACTTGCTTTGTAATGTCTTTGAGAGAGGTGGAAATACTACATTGTATATATCAAATCATTCGAACGAACCTTCAGGTAAATTCTTAAATATCATATAGCAGAAAATATAAAATGTAATAATGTTATACAAAGTTTAATAATGTAAATTTCTTGATTTTCACTCATTTAATTCAAAATTTAGCACAAGTATATGACACGCGCCTTGTAAAAGTTCTTTCAAATATTTCCCCCCTTTATATTAATTAGCCAATACTATGCATTACGTTTTTGAACATTGATGTTAAACAAAGGAGTTGTTGACATCCCATCGTTGTTGACAACGTTACATCGATAATAACCACTGTCTTCCACCACTGCATGGACTATTTCCAGATATGGTCTATCGATGGAACCGCCATTGTATCGATCATTGTCGGTAATATTTACTGCATGAAATGTAAAGGGATAGGTAATACTTCGTTTTTCCCAGGTGACTGACTTCATTTCCGGTCCGGAAGTGTAATTGATGTGGAGGGTTGTGTTAGACCTTGCTTTGACTGTAATAGACGTTTTCCCAACTGATATCACCGGAAGAGCTGTAAAAACATAATAGATAAAGGTCATAAATGTATGTACTTGCTTGTCAAAAGCTTGAAATTAAGAGCGTCTTATATGTTTTTTTTTTCTGTATAGATATAGTTAAAGTGATTGATTGCGGTAGTTTTAACTTTGATTTCTTCGAACAAATACAAATATTGACAGAAGATCATCTAAAACATTATCAGCTTACTAGTTTCAATTCTTATATTAAAGGAGGAGCTTGTTGATGTTCCATCACGATTAGTCACGGCACATCTATAGTATCCATCGTCAGTGTTGGTCACATTTTGTATTGTTAGAGATGGAGATGACAATGTTCCTCCAGAGTATCTCGAAACGGATGTAATATTAAGCGGCGAATACGCACTATTCAAAAAAGAGTTCATCGTATATTCCCATGAAACCGCGATTAAGGGTAGATATGACGTTATGTTTATATCAAGTGTAATATTAACCCATTTCCATGTGACAAAGGATGTTGTACCTTCTACGATATTTGGAAGACCTGCAATAGAAAGCAAAAATTTACTGATACAAGTGTGATATCAACTAAAACATCTACCCTGTAACATTAACTAAAACATCTTCTGCCCTTTGAGGGTGTCCACCAACCTCTCAAGGAATGTAAGTATATAGCTGATAAATTACTTGCCAATACATGTATTTTTATCTTTAAGAGTGTATTTGCATTCCACCTTTTTTTTTTTTTTTTTTTTTTTTTTTAGTTTTTCAGCTTTTTGTTTTAATAAAATGGATTACTAACGTGGAACGACGTCGACGTAAACTGTTCTCGTTGTTGTCCCATCGTTGTTTGTAGCTCTGACACGAAAATATGTTTCATCCTTTAGATTCACGTCTATAATCGTCAGTGATGGTGATAGATTACTTCCACCAGTATACCGATTATCAGAGAGTATGTTGATAACTTCGTAGACGTATGTGCTGGAGTTTCTTCTCTCCCATGTAACGTTAGTGATTGGCAGAAAGGACGTTATATTTGTTTCAAGCGTAAGGTTTTCATCGGAATCAATGCTATAACTAGATTTTAGTAAAATGGATGGTGGACCTGAAATTCATAAAGTTTTTCATTTATTTCTTTTAAATCGCAATAATTCATGAATCATAATTCAGATCATTTATCCTACAGTATACTGTACTAAAAGTCTATCAAGAAATTTTTTTCCTCTTCATTTGATTTTGAATAAACCATTTTGCTTCCTATTATTTACATTATCTACACAACAGTCGACGCGGTTTGCGTATTTACCGCGAGTCCTCGTGGTGTGGAATTGATTGCGATTTAACAAAGGTAACTGAGGAAAAACCACGTTTTGTCGCGGTACGGGTCCTCACCTGATCCAGACAATCGCGGTTTGTGCTATCGGTCTAAGGTAAAAAAAAGAATTCTTGTCACAAACGCGATTAACCTCCCCGATTTCTTCACTCAAAAAAGAAAGAAAGGGGGGGGGGGCAAGGATAAAAAGAGTTTGAAGACTTTTTTAAAAGTGAATATAACCAGTCTGAGCAGTGTTTGGATCTTTTTTTTTTTTAAATGATTTTTTTTTAATTTCATGAACAGTGTCTGTCAAAAAAGTATAAAAGGCACATGTACTAAGTCATTAAAAAGGGAAGGTAAAGATTGCAGTTATTGTCATATCAATTTTCTATAGAGAGTTTATGAACAACAACTAAAAAAAGTTCTGATCAATGGTGTATGATAAACAAAATACTTACGTAACAGAACATCAATGTAAACTGATCTCGTTGTTGTACCATCATCGTTTGTGGCGCTAACACGAAAATAAGTTTCATCATTTACATTGATATCTGTTATAGTCAGCGATGGTAAAATAATATCGCCGCCAGAATATCGATTATCTGACGATAAATCAATAATTTCATATATGTATGTACTGATGTTCCTTCTCTCCCAAGTGACATTTGTGATTGGCAGGGAGGATGTGATACTTGTCTGCAGTGTGACGTTTGCTCCCGTATAAACATAATATCTCGAGGAAAGTGATATGGATGGTCGATCTAAGATAAAAAGAAATGCTCACATATCATGGTACTATTAGATTAGGAAATTCACGACTACATAATGTACATATACATGGCTTGTAGCTGAATTCGGCTTTTCACATTTTGTTTGTTTGTTTGTTAGTAAGTATTACATGAATTTAAATGTCTGCAGAAGAAATCATAGGAAATTTTGACTATTCTAATAAAATAAATTGTACTACAGAAAAAAACTTTGTAATGATAAATGTAAACACATTTACATACATCGGAATTTCCTCGTCAACACACACCATAGTCCACTGATAAGACTGTAATTTAAACTCTTCTTTATGAATGTAGAAACTTTCACCAATAAAAAATCTTACATCGGGTAACAGTTATCCTGAACAAGCTGCTGTATCTATCTCCGTCCATGTTTGTAACCTTACATCGATAATACGTGTAATCGTCCTCCAAAGATATACCAGTAATATTAAGTGATGGTGAGTCGATGGTCCCTCCGATATATCGTCCATCGTTCACGACATCGATTGGTTCAAATGTGTATACGGATAAATTTCTTTTCTCCCAAACTACTGACGTGACGTTAAGAACGGATGTGTAGCTTAGTGAAAGAGTTATGTTCGTCCCTCTCTGGATGTAGAAATACCTTGTCCCCGTTGATATTGACGGAAGCCCTTAGTAGGAAAATTCACAGAAATTATAATAATTGCTAGATTCCAAAAATGTGTTAGAAAGTGGAAGGGAATGTGCAGGCATTGCATGCAGTGTTATGCGACTTTTTTTTATTTCTTTTTAACGACATGTGCAACATTAAAAAATTTTAAGAGCAGTTTCTTGACATATATATGAAAAGATAAGACAAGTCGTCTGACACAATACAGATTCATGTAGCTATCAAAATAACAGAATAACCAGAAACCATTAGTTATAGTACTTGAAACTTTGTAAGCAGCTGTTCTACAGAGGAAGTCTAACCATAAACATCAATATCTACACACAGACGAAAGTTTTTCTTTACCAAAATCATTCATACTGTTTTTGATTTCGATGAAGTCAAGAAATTTCGAAGAAGATTAAAATGCTTTAATGAAATTAAACTAGAAGTACTGTGAGCATTGAGCTCACTAAATGATACCTCCCGCTCCCAAATGAGTAATGCAAAGTCCGTTTTGCTATGGGAAACCCAAAAAATCTGTTTGATTAATAGATAAATAATAGGTGTTCAATGGCTCTATGTAATGAAGACTCTGTGCAAGTCTCACTGAATTTTATTCATTGGTATAGAATGTGTCGGAGGAAGAGATGGGTATCCCCAATATCATAGAAAGAATGGCATTGTTCATGTTCTGCTATGGGAATCCCCAAATATATGTCCTACCAAAACGCAGAATATTAGGATATGCACAATGCCACTATGAAATAAAAATTCTGTGAAATTTTCATTAAATTGTGTTCAGTTGTATAAGAGGATTTGCGAATAAGGGATGGCAGACGTACGAACAGACACCTTCATCACTATATTACCCCCCCCCCTTTTAAGCTGGTGTATAATAAAGACTAGTATATTACTTACTCGGAGTGACTGATAAATAGAAGCTAGAGCTATATCTAACACCGTCGCTGTTTTCCACTGCACATCTGTAATATCCATTGTCTGTAACCAATACATTTTTTATGACTAAAACGGGTGATCCTAATTGGCCACCATCAAATCTTTCGTCATCGGTCGTATTTAGTGTATAGTAATTGTACGGGTAGGAGGAATTTCGTTTTTCCCATTTTACCGATAATAAAGTAGTCAATGATGTAATATTGACTTCAAATGTGACATTTCCACCAGAATACATGTAGAAATTCCTTGTTCCAGTAGTAACTGACGGCAAACCTGAAAATAATAACGATTTTCAAATTACACATGTAAACATTTTTAAGGAAACCATACTCAAATAACATTCACCTGGGTGTTTTTAAATCTGAATTAAATAATCCAGTTTATGGAGAGAGAGACAGAGAAGGCGAAAAAGAGAGAAGAAGCAGTAAACTTACGGAGATTTAAACTCAAATAAAACGTCATGCTTCTTGTACCATCTATATTTGTAGCGTTGAACCTAAAATACCCAGCATCTACCCCACGGATACTATTAATAGTCAGTGAGGGGTCGTTGATCAATCCACCAGAGAATCTGCTGTCTGTTGTATCAATCAAGGTATATGTGTATGGATAGTTGCTGCGTTTCTCCCAGCTGACAGAAACCATGGGCAACTCGGATGTGATATTAACCTCAAAAGTGAGATTAGTTTCCGAATAGATGTAGTAAAAGTTTGTCTGCTTTGTTGTTATAATAGGTAAACCTATGAAAATTTATTGAGATGGAAATTTTTAAAAATCCAAAAAATCACAAATTTAAAAATCGAAAAACTGACTCTTCAATTTTTACTTACGAACAATAACATTTACGTAAATGCTCGAACTTAAAGTTGTGCCGTCAGCGTTAGACACATTTAGACGATAATACCCAACATCCCCTGTGCTAACGTTACGAATGATGAGGGACGGAGAATCAAGTGTACCACCGTCGTATTTGTGATCTGATGTATTCAAGCTATTAAAATTATAGTAGTAAAAAGAACTCTTCTGCCACGTCAAACTTAAAAGATCTGGAGAGGCGTAAACAAATACGGAAAGTATGACATCTTCGCTCTTGTTAACAGTGTACCAGGTTGAGTTCAGAACAATGTAACGCCCTGAAAGCAAAACAAGAGATAGTAATAATTTTTAAAAAGTTGTTATTCAAAATAAAAACCTTCTGTCTAAATGCCATCATTACTTTAATTATTTCGCTAAAATAAAAGTATATTACACTCATTGAAAGCTCTTCAAAGGAAATAATGAACACACAAACGCAGTCATAACGAAGGTAATATCAATTCATTAATTCATAATTTTCCTTCATTTCTGTGTGAAAGAGAGAGAGAGCGAGAGAAAGTAGAAGAGAAAAAAGCTCTTACGACTTACCAACTATGTTTACATTGATTGGTGTACTGTAACCAATACCGTTAGAGCTGTTTGCATAACATCTGTAGTTACCAATATCGGATGGGCTAAAACTGTATATTCTTAAAGACGGGTAATATGTAGTAGAACCATAATATTTAGATGAGGATACGTCTATTTCCGTTTCGTTTTCCTGGCCCTGGGGTTGAACTGTCCAGAAAACCCTAGTGACACCGAAACCAAACACTTGACAAGGAATAGTGACAGTGTAGCTAAATCCAGTAGTGATGTTTGATCCCACTAGTATTGCAGGTGCATCTTGAAAAAATATAAAATTTGGAGAAATAAACTCACATTAAACTGTAGTTTTGTGACACAGAGAGATTTTATAATCAAAATAATCAAAGCACTGCGTGAACATTAATTTGCAGAACCTCATTCACAGAAATCAGTTTGATTATCAATAAAATTCAAAACATGTTTTATACAACGCCAAAATGTGAGCACTAAGCAATTTTTACTAATTCTTCAGAAAATTCACATTTGGTTAAAGGGTCTTTCGATGATAAATATTCACGAAATATATAATTCCATTGACTACCATGCTAATGTTATGCATGATATCTGAATGCAATTGCCGAAATTATTGATTTTATTAGAGAGTCATTTTCTAACGTATATCAATTTCTAACAAATTGTCAACCTTTAAAATTTTTATAGTCTTGTATCTGAAAAAAAAGAGTCATGTCACTTTAAACTAAATACGTTTAAGTGAGGAAATCATTAATGTTAAAAAGTGAAAAAAAAAAGTGCATATAGTACGATTGATGATGTGTCAACGCAATATTAAAAGATAGAAACAGCAATAGGGGTACCTCCAAATAAGTATACTGCGATGTCCGAGCTATTCCTGGATCCATAGTGATTGTACACAGAACAGTGATAAAAACCTTGATCTTCTCGCTGGAAATTTGTAATGTTGAGGTTTGGAGAATAAATTGTTCCGCCGGAGTATTTATCATTAGGCACTGGATTTATCGCTACATCATCTTTGTACCAACTTACTTCAACAACGGGAGGGTAACTGGAGGAAAAATTGCAAGACAGGGACACGCTATCACTAGCATTGACAGCGTAATTTGCACTTACCGTGGAAAAAACAGGAAAACCTAGTTTTAAGAGAAAATAGAATTGCCAGTGAATAAATATCTTTCCTTTCAGTACTGTTCTTAGATTGCATTAATTTTCTTCGCTGAGATCTGTTAGTTTAAATTTCTTACACTTGCGGTCCATCTTGTAAAATACCGCAAGTTATCGCCATACATTTATTCAAAAGCAAATGGTAATTGAATTGACTTTGAGATTTTGTACGCTGATACAAAAGAAAATAAAAACGTAAAAGAGATTAGTGTTGCAAGTATGCAAAATGCTCACCTCGTTGCAAATCTAGAAATATCATTGATGCACTTTGACCTATCCCTGCTGAGTTTTGGGCCAAACATCTATAGTTTCCTATATCTTCAACTTGAACGTTTTTTACGGTAAGAGAGGGTGTTCCTACAGTACCGCCGCTATATTTAGTTGTATTACCACTGTTGATAGTGGTAGTGATGCCGTTTTTCTGGTAGTGCCATGTTACAGAAGAGATAGTTGTTGTGCTTGAGACGTAACAATTGAGTATGGCGGACGACCCAACATATACTGTAAGACTGGATCCTAATGTTACATTTGGTAGGCCTATAATTAAAGTGATATTGTCAGTACCTTTGGTATTTAAAATGTATTTCTGTTTTTGTTTTATCACAATTATTCCAAACTTACCGGGGACGTAGCAGTTAGGGTCTGTGTTTCCGGCGAGACAGTGACACACATATTTTCCGAATTGATCTTCACAAGTCCCTCCATTAAGACAAGGTTCACTTAAACAATCGTTTATGTCTACAAGAAAAGTTATAATAAAACACGTTGCACGTATTTATCATCTTGTGTTTATATACAGACTTTGTATAATTCTAAAAAGGTCTCTCCTTCAAAATAATTTTTATGAAAATTTATCTTTTAAAATTTTGAAAATATTTGATTACGAGTCATAATGACGTCATCTACAGGCAAAGAGGACTAATATTACAATGAAAAGAAATAGTATTACAAACCATCGGCGCAAGTTCCGTTAGACAATTCGTTCGTTAACAATGGCAATAAATCAAACGTGGTCAGATACGTGTAGTCGTTGTGAGTGGCTACCGATCTGAGAACAGCTGAATTTATGCCTGTTCCTACTCCGACACAAAATATCGTGACTCCGATTGCTTTAAGTTGGGCGGGTTGGTTTGAAAGGGAACTTTGTCCATCGGTGATAAGAACTGCAATTTTTGCCGAATCATTTCTTGCTCCGCGGGAAGAACTAAAGGAATACATTCGGGCATAATCAAGGGCACTTCCTATGCTTGTTCCCCCGCTTCTGAATGAAATGGAAGCTATAGCAGATTGTAGGCCAGACACTGTGTCATATCTGTTGAGTGGAAATATTTCTCTAGAAGAGGACGCAAAGTTGACTACATTGAATTGATTTGAATTGTTTCCTACTTTGAAGTGACCTACAACGGAGCTGACGAATGTCTTGATTCGTTCAAAGTTTAGCGATCCGATACTGCCAGACTCATCTAGTAGAAAAACTAGGTCTCCCTTCGAGATGCATTCTCCTTATTAAGAAAGAAAATATTTTTTTAAAATTCTTGATTAAAGTAGTCTCTTTGTGACTTTAAATGGGCGGAAAATTATTTCTTGTATTCCAAAATGTTTAAATTTGAAATAATTTGAAATAATTTTTGCTGCTTGAATTGTGTGAATCAAATATATTGTTAGACTATTTCATGAACCATCTAAATAAATTACAATTTTGGGTCTATTACGTTAATAAGCATTTAAAGTATGTTTCATGATCTCAGAACCAGCTGTATATTGAAATTCACAATAAAGTCTGTATAGGAAATTTTAATAAAGTTATATGGAAGTAGAGCCGATAAATTATAAGTAACCCTGATATTCACACAACTCATTCAAATTACAAAATATAGTTCGCTATAATGAAAAAGTTTAAGAAAATACATACTGTTTTATTCATAAAAAGAATTATATCTAGATTTTTAAATTTTTATTTTAATCTTTTTTATTTATTTATTACAGTATTATTATTATTTTTTTTTTTTCAAAAATGTACAAAGTTGAGCTTTTTTAATACTTTTATTGCTAACTGAAACTGTGACATCCAAAAAGACTAGTTCTTTATTTAATGTTGACTTAAGGATTAGTCTAATTTGGGCTTGCGCGATAGTCTGAAAACAAAAGACTCTGCTAATTTTAAATTCTTAATAATAATACATAACCATTTAAATAAGGCCAAGAAAAGCATCATGTACAAAACTTTGAAATGAAATAAAATTTGTTAGTCTAAGAAGAATTTTCGTGACGATGATAAAAATCTCATCTTTTGAAATTGAAATACAGAATAATACTAATAAATGTAATTTAGATTTGCATTTGGTATTGAAGGACTTTTATAAATTTAATTTTTAAACAAACAAAAAAAAAAGCATTTCAAAATGAGAAGTAGAACTTTGAATTAAAGCTGTCTATGGTAATCAGGATAAAAGGACAGACAAAGTGTTTTTGGAAATTTTAGCGATGAGAAACATCTCTGACCGTTGTCCACTCCCATGCATACGTTCTAATTAAATGATATTTAAACAATAAGGAATGTCATTTTTGAGCTATTACAAAATATGTCTGATAACCAATGCAAGGAGTACTTTTCTGCTTATGGATAAACAAGGAAATGAGTGTCGAATGAGTTTTGGTTCAAGTTTTTGAAACCTTAATTTCAATATATTTTTATCAATATGTTGTAAAAAAAACAAAAAATATAAATCCTACCTTTAGTAAAAGGTATGATTAGCCATACCATTTGCAAAAGAATCATCAATTTTAACATTTTCGTTTAGTATCGGAAAGTTTTCTCACATCAGGTATCTTTTGAAGAAAGCATTGCGGCAGGGCAACTGTGTAAATGATTTATGTAAATGAATTTGAGAGTCAAGACCATCTTTAAAGAAAAAAAATATGAACAAGGCGTATTCTTTTTTTTTTTAAATAGGGGTGTTTACAAGATAGAAGTAAGGTATTTTAAGTTTACCTCCTAGAACGATAATTTAAATGGTTAACAGTGGGTCGATTTCATTATTAAGCAGTTGATGTGTTCTAAAGAGGAGTTTTGAAGCATAATTTACATTTTTAAAACATGTTTAACCAATTTTCATATTATGTCACTTACAATGAAATATCCTTGGCACTGTTTTATAATTATAGTTCTGTTTGTTTCGATTAAATACCTGAAACCGAAACATATCGGAAGAATTTTATTTAAAAATGTATCGAGAACAATTTTGCCTAAAATCTATCACTTTTTTAAGGTTTTACTTTTCCTACAGTTTTGGTCTCATGCTGCTATTACTATATATTTAATAAGATTAAAATCTGATGCCAGAGGCACAGCTATACTTCTAACTAATAATTTTAAACATAATGTTAAAAGTAAATTGAGAGATAAGGAGGGAAACTATATTATACTTGAAATTAATGTGTGTAACAAATAATTTTTACTTATTAACGTATGTGGTCCAAACTAGGACTGTCCAGATTTTTTTTCAATCTATTTCTGCTATTATTTCAAATTTTGATGGTGAATTTGTTATCACTGCTGGTGACTTTAATCCTGTTCATGACCCAAATATAGAATATTACAATTATAATCAAGTTAACAATAAAAATCTAGAGATGTTGTTTTAAACATAAAGGAAGCAAACAATCTTACAGATCCCTGAAGTGCAAAATACGAGACACTCCGAAGGTATACATGGTTTAAAAATAATCCAATAAAAAAAGCTAGATTTGATTTTTTTTCTTAATATCAAATAAATTAATAGCTTTTGTAGAAAATGTTAATGTAAGCCCCGGCTACAGACCAGACCATTCTATTGTTGAGCTGTTTATATCTTTTTGAAATGACTTCTTTCCAAATTGACGACCAACAATTTTTTGAGCAATTACTATTAAGCATAAGAGGGGCTACAATTAGTTATTGTTCAAGAAAGAAAAAGAAAATAAAGTTAAAATATTAGAAGAAGAAATATCTCAGAAAGTAATAGAAACACTGATAATTCACCTGAAATTATAGAAAAGTTGGAACATTAAAAAAGTTATAGATAGAAGAAGGGGAAAAACCGACAAAGTATTTTTTTAATTTGGAAAAAAGAAATTTTGTAAACAAAACAGTAATCAGACTAGTTCAAGACAGTTGTAATATAATAACAGAACAATCTGAAATTTTAACAGAAATTGAACCTTTTATGAAAATCTATATGCATGTTGTGATGATAAACTACATGATATTGACTTGAAAAAAAAAATAAATGTGGAATATGTTAAAATATTAAATTAAGAAACATGATATCAGTCAGAAGGTGTAATAACTAAAGTTGAAGCTTTAACAGCATTGAAAAACATGAAAAATGACGAAAGCCCAGGAAGTGATGGATTTCCAGCTGAGTTTTACAATTTTTTTCGGAAAGATATTAGATAGTTCCTTATTAGATCAATTAATTATGGATTTCAAAAGGGAGAACTACCTATCACTCAGAAACAAGGAATTATATCAATTTTACCAAAAGGAGAAAAATCGAGAGAATATTTTAAAAAATGGCAACCAATATCATTGCTTAATGTTTCATACAAAATTGCTTCTGCATACTTTGCAAATAGAATAAAATGTGCATTAGATTATCTTATATATGACAATCAAAAAGGTTTCCTTAAGAATAGATTTATTGGTGAAAATACACGTATAATTTATGACGTATTTCAAAGTACAAAGACAAGAAATATACCAGTAATCATTTTACTTATTGATTTTGAGGCTTTTGACTCAGTGTCATGGGAATTTATGAACAAAACACTTAAGTTTTTTAACTTTGGGTCTGATCTTATTAAATTAATACATGTATTATTTAATCAAACTCAACTATGTGTAATCCAAAATGGAATATTCACAATTTCTAAAAATAGGGAGGGGTTGTCGGCAAGGAGATCCCATCTCTCCATATATATATTAAACCTATGTGTAGAGATTATGGGATACATGGTTAGACAAAAATAAAAATATGAAGGGAATAAAAATAGGTGGAAAAAATGTTTACTTCAATACGCAGATGACACAGTAATGTTTTTAGATGGTTCAGAAAAAAGCCTAAAAAGTGCCTTAGATCTTCTTTTTCAATTTTTAAGATTTTCAGGACTTAAACCAAATATCACTGAAACAAAACCTATATGGTTAGGTTCTGAAATAAATTCCAGAAACACATTATGTAATGAAATAAGACTTCAGTGGACAGTTGAACCATTTAGAGTCCTCAGCATTACGTACACTGCTGACCTAAAAAATATGGAACAACTAAATTTTTGTAAATGTTTTCAAAACATTAAAAAGGAAACAACTTAGTGATCAAAAAGAAATATATCTCCATTAGGGAAAGTTACAGTATTAAAGAGTTTATTTTTATCAAAACTTACTCATTTGTTTACTGTTCTCCCAAAGCCAGACAAAAAGTGGATAACAGAATTGGAAAACTTTTTTATAAATTTATTTGGAACAATAAAACAGAAAAAAATCTCAAGAAAAACAATGAAACTTTCTAAAGAGAATGGTGGTCTTAAAATGACCAATATTGACTTTTTTTTTTTATTTAATCTTTAAAATTAACTTCAATCAGAAGATTACTAATTACAAAGTCTAGTCGGATCCAAATAACAAAATGTAATATTGTAAACCTGTCCCATTTTGGGCCAGAATATTCAAATGTTAAAGCAAAGAATACACAAAATAGCTTTTGGAAAGAAGTACTGTATGTATTTTTCAGAATTTCTAAGTCTTATAACATGCAACTCAAACCAAGGAGATATTCTGTTGGAACCTCTGTGGTATAATAAGAAAATTATAATAAATTATAAGATGCTGATATCGGAGTAACATGAAAACATCACCGCAAAATTTTTGACCCAAATACGGCACCCCAAATTGTCGTTACATGTTCACAGTTTCATCTGTAGTATATAACTGAGTATGGGGGCAACACATGATTTCTTACTCCTGGAGAAAATATACTGCCCGAAACCGTATTAAAAATATAAAGAAATATAAGAAATAAATAATGATAAAATAAAGAATATGCCAAAGTAATGATTTAACAAGGTCTGAACTACTTATCTTAGAATACATTGGGTCGTATTTTGGCTGACGTGTTCTGTACCAAATCTTAGGCCTTTGTTTTTATACTGAATTTGACTTCAGAATGTTCCATCTACCTGATCAAGACATAGGGCTCACAACGGTAATGACCGGTCAACAGGGATGTTTACTTCTCCTATGCACCTGATTCCACCTCTGGAATTTCTATGGGTCCGTGTTTTATGCCCTCTTCACAGATTTGAATTGTTTATAGATTTTTTGAGATTGATCACTGTCCGTTATCCTCACCTTTTTCATTTCATGCAGCGTTTGTTCAAACACGTGACAAAAGTCTTTATTGCCGTCTTAGATGTGCATGAATAAAGATCATACCTGTATTGTAATTTCTATCTAACATGAGGTTCAAAGAATAAATTTAAACAACTATTTCATATAATTAGTTCTTTTTAATTATCTTTCCTATTCCTTTGTAGAGATTAGATAGTGTAATGTATACGTAATTTACATACAATGTTTTTGACTTGGGATTCTGAAAAACCTAAACTTTGAAAATATGTAGGCATATTTAATATGATTTTTGATAAATAATACTTTTACAAAGTAGTTTGAATTTTACGGAAGCCCGTTGAGGCCAGTTCAGAGAAAGAAATATTTTTTATTGCGTTTAAACGCAATAATTATTGCGTTTAATCGCAATAATCATTGCGTTTAACCGCAAAAGATTGCGATTATCCGCAATGTATACGTTTAAACGCAAAAGATTGCGAATAAATGCAATCTTTTGCGCTTAAACGCAATACTTTTGCGATTAAACGCAATACTTTTTGCGTTTAAACGCAATAATATTTTTGCATTTGAACGCAATAATTTTTGCGATTAAACGCAATAGTATTGCGATTAAACGTAATAGTTTTGAGATTAACCGCAATAGTATTGCGATTAAACCCAATAATTTTGCGATTAACGCAATAATCTTTGCATTTAAACGCAATAATCCTTCCTTATAAGGATTTGTTTTGCATTTAAACACAATGAAACTGTAGTTTCAAAATCAAACATGAATTAGTCAAAGCTTATAATTACATGTACATGTACTAGGATCCGACACTTTAACTTTAAGAAGATCCGATTTGTTCTGTGTCTTTTTGCAAAATTTTCCAGTTTTTGTAAATTGTAGTAAAACAATGGCATCCTAACAACCTGAATGTCTTAAATGTATTAGAACCCAAAACTCTTAATGAAGTCTCTGATCAATTGCTTACGTATATCACAACGTATAGAGAATATTTCAGTGGTAGTCAAAAGTATTGCGTTTAAGCGCAAAAGATTGCATTTATTCGCAATCTTTTGCGTTTAAACGTATACATTGCGGATAATCGCAATCTTTTGCGGTTAAACGCAATGATTATTGCGATTAAACGC